AAAAACAAGCGATTAAATGCGATCTCCATGAATGTCTGTTTTCCCCTGTCGTTCTAAATAGAGTACAAATGACATTCTTATTTCTTCAATGCCGGCGGTAAAACTCTGTCCTGGTCTTTTCCACCTCGATATGTGCATATCTATACCGACCGTTGGGTCAGGTCGTGACAAAGCAAAAACCACCGTTGGGTCAGGTAAGGAATCTCTCTTCCCTGCCTCCAAAGAGCAGCAGGGTACCGGATACAGACCAAAACGTGAAGAGAGCAACAACAACAACAACAACGACGACTACAACAACAACAACAGCGACAGGCACACACACTAACAACAACAAGTAATTTTACCAACATTCCTAAAGGCTCTATCTACTCTCGTCTGTCACTTTTCACTTTCTCGAGGAGGATATTGTACAACAGGACCACCCAGTGGTCAATAGGCCCAGGCAAGCAGTAGTGCAGGCCGTCTTCTTCCGAGGCGTGGAAGTCTGCTCGCAGTATTGTCGGCGAGTAGGCATCCAGCAATGTCCAGCCGCCATGCGTGGCCTCGAAAGCTTCCTCCAGGAGCTTTGATTTCAAAATAGAGACGAGTACATGCAAGAAGAGCGGGCGCACACGCAAACATTTAGAGCACGATCTACACTATTGTGCAAGTATTAACGACGTTGAGCCTTTCACCCGAAGGGGAGAGTGAGGTGTCATGTTGTTCGCACCCTCGAAAGGCTGGTTTGTTCAACGTTCTGGGCTGCAAAATCAGCAAAACCGACTAATACATAAGTCTACTCCGATGATATGAAAATCACAAAAGAGGTGAGGACGATTCTACCTCGGCGTAAAATCGCCGTGGTTTCTTGGGCTCCCTCCCGCAACAAGCAAGGTCTACTTTTAGCAGCCGGCGCCGACTCTGAGGCCTCTCCCCAACCCTTGCTAAATAATCTTCACACACGACGATGGCGCCAAAGAAAGTAAAGAACGAGAGCCTTACCTTGTTTCTATCCCCAAACGTGGTCCACTTGTACATCGGCGGTCCTTTCGCGACGAGGTCGAGGGCCGTGTCTAAATCAACAGGTCCGCCGAACATTCTGCCACGCAAAGCGGCACGCAAAAGAAGAAAACGTTGTCGAAACTCAAGCTTTTCGGGCACGAGAACACCTCCTCCTCCTCCTCCTCGGCAGCGGAGTAGAGCGGGGTATGTAGATACGATTTGAGGTGGGGGAAGGAACGATTTGCCGCGACAAAAGAAAGCTGCAGTAACGTGGATAACCACCTTGCATGCCGAAAATGAATCGGATGAGCCGCGTGCGGTAGCAATGCTCTGGTCGGGCTCGGCAGGACTGCTTGTTTCGTTTTATGGAGCGGAGCGGAGAGGTATATGCAGCCAATACAAGAATACGATTCGTGCACACGATGTCGTCGGCTGTGCACACTGCCGGATAGCTACAAGGACTGATGGCAACTTACAAGACATCGCCGACTACGTGGCGGTGCAGCGGCGTAGACACGTTTCTGGAGCGTGTTTTCAGCCGGACACCCGACGACGAATGGCGGCACTAAATGTGTATGTGTGTTGTCCCAAAAATGATCAACCGCCGTCCAGGTCCGCACCTGTTGAGTATCACCGCGCGATGCACATATCGACGCTCGATGCGGGACGAGCTAGACACAAGCGAATGTGTGCAGAAAAACTTCCAGGCGACCTGTCCCGCGTGTAAAAGACCTCGAAAAATAAACATCTACGGCGTAGGTTCGCATGCCCCCCAAAGCCATCACGTAAAGTTGCTTTCAGCCGCCGTGGTAGACTACAGCCGACATCCCCTCCTTGAAACGTCTCCCACCTATCGAAGCTCTCGCCGTGACCCGGGACGGTGTTCCTGACCACCAAGATGGCGTTATCCCCGTGTAACCGTCTCATCGACGAGGTCAGGCTCTCGCTAGCGCTCTTCATCATCAACCCGTACGCCTTCATCCCCCCCGATCGACGGTGTGCCCCAGCGTTCACGACGAGGGTGTCGAACTGGCTCAAGGTAGCATCATCTGCGAGAAAAGATGAAAGCAAGTTGACATCACATCGTTACTCGACGCAGGTTGACGTTGCATCGTTACAAAAATAGATCGATTTGTCGAATTGGTTCAGGGCAGAAATCACGCGCGAGTGCAAAATATCTTTGACGCCACTACGTTGTTCAGCACCGTTGAGTTCCCATTTTCGCTCGAAACGTATGCATACCACACCTGAAACAGAGAGCCAGGCACTACGTACGAAGAATGGACAAGTCTCTGCTCTCGACATCAAAACATGAAGCCTCATTTCACTCCATCAGCAGAACGGATTGGTAAGACTCATTCTTGGCCTACAGTACGTCTACAACGCTGTCCCGGACAGACTAGAGGATTGCCGGGACAATTTTGTTTCGGCCGACTCTGCAGACAGACCCGGGAATTAAACGTACCATGGTGCAAAACACGGAGGGCTAAAACTTTTGGCAAAACAATGCGATTCATTCGTGTTCGTTCAGTGATGATTCTCGGTTTTGGCCAGGGATGGATAGACAGACTGGAATCCTCCAAAATTGTTTGATTCTGCCACGCGGGCGCGCGCGAAAGTGTCGTTGTGGCACCCGTGAATGCGCGCAAAAGCAAGGCACGTGGGGGGTTCCCAACCGCACGAGTGCTAAACGCACACAGTCGTGGCTCCGATATAAGAGGCAAAGCGCCTCGACGCTCTCATCTCGGGATCCCCTCTTGTACCGGAATAAGACGGTACCCAACTATACTACAACTATAGTGGGTCGACTTCATGACAACCCGTGTCGACCCTCTTATCTCTTATATGGGAGCATCTCTTATTAGGTACCCGTCTTTTACATCGGAGCCACGACTGATGGTGCATGCCTGCAAAGACCATGCAGTGCGACTTGCTGACGTCTGGGTCCTCGCAATGCACCGTGTCGAAGCCGTCCGTTCGCGTGTCGAGGAAGTCGTTGCGTGACCACGACAGCGTCAGCGCTCCGTCGCAGGCGGAGTAGGTGTCCAAGGTCAGGTGCACGTGCTTGACGAGCGTCGCGCGCAGAACCGCCGCCAGAGTATCGATCATCTCACCCGTCAGGCTGTCCCCTAGGCGGGGAGGGAGGGGATGGGAGGGGGGGAAACAAGGGTACCTATCACGGCCTGCCTGCACCCTCAGTTCCACACAGGGCAGGAGAACGCGTAGGTGGTGGGTTTGTAGATCCACCGACCGTCCTGTCAGATCTTGCGCTTTTCTTGCGCGTGGAATCAGGTCATGTCAACAATCCTTACAAGCCTTTGCGGAAAGAGGAAACGCAGGCTTTGTTCCATGCACCGGTGTTCAGGTGAATTTTCCCGCCCTCCTTGCTCGCCTCGCCTCCCCCCCCCCCTTCCGCCCGGGCGCGGGGGCACCCCTTACCCTCCGCCATGTTCCCCACTATTCTCTTCTGAGCAGGCAGGGTTGCTTCAGGGGTTGCCGTTTGCATCTCACGGTCACACCGTCTTGTTTCGGGCGGGGGTTAAGCAAACAGCCGCCCCAAACCATGCGGCTCTCACCCGCGAAGAGCAACCCCTTCCTTCCCTCCATGACGCGGCAGAACTTGGCTTTGTCCGCCTCCTCCAGCCGGCACGCCGAAGGCTCCCACTTCCAGTACGGCATGGGGGGAACGGGCTCTTCGCCCTCATGCTCTGCTGACCATCTTTCGCTACACCTGTTGCGAGCGCGCGGCGTTTTCACACACAACACATAAAACGGGAGTAACAAACAAACACATGCACCTCTCGTGTTGTGCGTATTTGTGTCATATGACTGGGCTCGTCACTGCCGTAACGCACAATCTAGACGGTCCACCCAGACGAGGACGGAAAGAAACTTGTTTTTTCGAATTTCGACTTTCCCCCATTTTCTAAACGTTTTGTTTCTGGCCGGTTCAGGCTTCTCGCGCAAGATGGATTGTTCGCAAGCACCCCTCCTGCCAGCATTATTCTCACCAAAAAACAAAAATACATGCTTCTCGTGCAACCACACGATGATAGGGACGACCTGCGGCGGGTTGCAGCTGCGCCGGGCGTAACTACGAGCTGAATACACCATTGTCGTAGCGGACGGGTGGATGGACAGAGACATGCACACACACATGAGGTTGTACGGAGGGCTACTGTAACAGGAAAAAGACATACTTCCAATATCTGAAGGCTACAAAAACGACACATCTAGTGGGGCTTACACCCGTTGCTGCACGCAGCCGCTACACGACAACGTAGCCCGTCGGCCATCACTCACGAACACTCCCGGCAACGAAAGCCTTTGATCCCACTTTCATCTTACCGTTTCTCCGTTCGAGTGGTTTTCCACGGGCCGGTGAAGTTGCCCGTATTCGCCGGCGAATCGTCCATGCCTCCCGCGCACTCGTTCCATCTCCCTTGGGAAGGATCAGCGGCCGTGCTCGAGTAGCACGGCGGCAAGCCGAGGTCGGTTTCGACGTTCGCGCAGTCGACGACACGGGCTGGATACCTTTCCTCCCCAACGACGATAAGCCGTGGTGGATCCTTTCCATCCCCTGTCCCCCCCCCCCGGGAGAACAACAAGAGGCGTGTTTTTCGTTGTCAATGTCAAACGGCTCTCGCGGCTGCTGCTCAAAGATTGCACCGCGATGCGTTTAACTGGTGAACGCGCATAGAGAAGGAGTGCATGACTACTACTCTGGGCGTAGGCTGTCGACGACAAATGGTTATGGAGGCCGCCGCTGTCCTAGTTTGTAACGATCTAATCTCCTCGTATGCATAGAAGTTTGGGGAAAACGCCTGCGGGGTTTGGTTGGTTTCCAACCTAACTTGTACCACCCCGAGGACGAAATTGTACACCCTTGCAACCAAATACCCGGCAGGACTCCCAACTGCTGCCGTCGTTGCTGGTGGTTGTCTGCTAGGCAACAAGCAGACAGCAGCGACCATCATGAAAAAGATGAGCAAATGGTTGTCTCGAGACAACAATTATCTTTTTTTTTTTTTTGTCTTCACTTCAAATAAGCGCTCACAGCACTAGTGCCGTTTATTCCAACCCGTGGTCACACAGAAGGGTCCCTCTCTACCCTCCCCTCCTGCGGTACTTTGCCTTCGATTTTTAACGCGAGAAGAGTTCAGCACTCTCTTCCCTCTGTGTATACACGAACTAGCGTTATCCACTAGGCCAGGAGCGGAAGCGAGAGAAAAACTCACTTAACAAGAAAAGCTCGCTTACGCCGGGATTCGAACCCCTGACCTGACCTCTATGCATACAAGGTTTCGAGGATACCAACTAGAGCACCGGGGCGACCGAAACTATCCGGCGACGAAAAAAGTTGTGCAACTACAGCAGTAATGCTGCTGTGGTTTTGAGATACTGCTGAACTTGACCCGGCTGGCTGTGCAACAGCAGCTGTCTCCAGATATAGATGCAGCTCTCTTCTCACAGACTGATGTGAAACAGGTACGTGCAGCTACACGGTACACTGGTGTGACGATGTCTGTACGTTGCGATTTCATGTCTACAGCACTCTAGGGACCTCTTGTTTATGACGGTGCATTCGATTGACAGATCTTGAAGCAACGCAACGCGTACGGTGTGACAGCCTGTCAAAACGAAGATATGGGTCTACCTCGTGACTGCACTCACGCACTCTCTGGGCTGCAGTCCGTTTCCAGCCCGGTCTATTTCTATTCATGGCGCATGTCGGTGCAGGCTTAAAACAGCTCGCCATATGTAGGCAAATTGATGGCCCGTTCCCCACACTGGGACCAATCGTGAGGCGCACGCATCCTCGTGTTCGGTGGAAGGGGCTGGTTCTATGCAAGCAGCAATTACTGCTGTTAAGTCTACCCGGCTCTGCCTGGAGCTGTACGGGCGACCAAATTGCGTGCGACGTATTTCCTTAGTGAGGTTTCAAAAGCTCCACTTCTTCTGCGGGAAATAATCAATCACAAATTTCCACTACAGGGTCAAGAGCTTCCCACTTTGTATGCGTTTTAAGTCTGTCAATAACTTTCGTATCCACCCTACACGGAGGGCCGCAGAGCAAACGAAGGACGGGGGGGGGGGGGGTAGCCCCCCGCGTCCGAGCCCTTGTAAAGTAACATGACTACAACAACAACAACAACAACAACAACACCAGACCACCAGCAAGAGAAGCAGAGGATCGATTAATATTTATTTAATTAATGCAAGTAGAGGTTCGAATGTGTTCTGTTGATGATGGTCAGTCAGTCAGTCAGTCAGTCAGTCAGTCAGTCAGTCACAGCAGTCATGCAATGCATTTCATGCATGATGATGCGCGCACTCACGGCGAAGAGGAGCAAGACAAAAAAAAAAAACATCACGGGGTGCCCGCAGAAAAGTGAAAACGACACCTACGTCCTAGAGAGGTCGAAATGAAGAAAAAAAGCTCCAAACATAATTTTGTTGGGATCTATTGTTTACTTGATTTTAGTATCCTCCCCCCCCCCCTCAGCCCCAGGAAGGAACGATTGGCCATCGGTGATCGATCCTGTGGGAACAATGCTCCGTCCTCTCGAGGACGGGTGGTCAATGGTCTAACCGCGAAGGCATGCAAAACATAAGCGTGCGCCCCCCCCCCTCAGCCCCCCCCGGTGTTTTGCCATCGGGGTTGGGTTTTCGTCGCTTGGCAACGACGTTGTAAAACAAGCCGCCCCCCCCGGTGAAGGAACGATTGGCCATCGGTGATCGGTCCTGTGGGAACAATGCTCCGTCCTCTCGAGGACGCGTGGTCAATGGTCTAACCGCTAAGGCATGCAAAACATAAGGAGTACGCCCCACCCCCCCCCGGTGTTTGCCATCGGGGTTGGGTTTTCGTCGCTTGGCAACGACGTTGTAAAACAAGCCGCCCCCCCCGGTGTTTGCCATCGGGGTTGGGTCTTCCTCGCTTGGCAGCGATGTTGTAAAACAAGCCGATTTACTTCGTGAGCTGGGCAACCAGGGTACCGCTTTTTTTTTTTGGGGTAACCATGAATGGTGGTCTAGTAGATTATGTTGTGGGGGGTGGAGAACCCTCATTCCGGGCAAAGGGGATAATCGCACGTTGTGTTAGAATGGTCAAACATCCTCGAGGCAGTTACACAGAGCTTATAACTGTCTCTGGAAGTGAAAGCACCAGAAAATAAATTAAGTCACACGCAGCTGTCATCCGTACGAAAGGAAGTAAGCACAAGATGCCGAACACCCTTAGCAGGATGCAGCGCACCCTTCATGCGACTCGCCGAATACCTCACGGCGCTTCGCGCTTGGTGATATGAGAGCCTGGTCCGGTGAGAACCCGGCATGCTCCGTCCCGGCTTTGTAGGAATGCGAGGTCAATGGTCTAACGACTACGGCATGCACGACTATGAGTACCCCCCCCCCCCCCTCCCCCCCTCGATACACGCATAACCATAATCGAGATAATGTCTGCGTGCGACACGATAGTGGCAGCTAATTTTTTAAACCTCTAAACTACAACTAATAGTGCAATTAACTGTGATTTTTCCATAACTTCGTCAGAGAGTCAGTGCCAACCCTGCTCGTGTTCTGCCATGAACGTTTGTACGTACTCCGTGTGTAAATGCATATGCATACAACGCCACTCTCCACTTTCACATCATCACATCATCATCAGCGAGCGGGAACGCCCGCCGTGCGTTGTTTCGTACCACTACTCACCAAGCTGCGTGTAAATAAATGCGTGTAAATAATACAATAGCATGCTATTGTATTATGCTATTGTATTATTTACACGCAGCATTTGCATACGTACAACCTCTGCAAAAACTTGGTGTAGTGCTTATCCTTACCTCCGACCCGCCGGCCCTTCAGCAGGGGGTCCATCCCGATCAACCGTCGGCCCTTCAGCAGGGCGGTCATCCCGACCAACAGCACTCCCACCACACCAACAAGCCAGAGTAGCCTCCAGCATCCCAGCAGCCTCCCTCTTCTTGCCGTTGACGCCGATGCGTCGCAGGCCTGTTGCGGAGGAGCTGCCGCCTCGTTTCGATCCGGGTGTCCGTCTGCAGCGTCTTTCAGTTCAAGAACCTCCTGCGCTTCTTCAGCCATCCCCTCCTTCCTAGCTAGGCAGCAGACGAATAGGGGCGTGCACAAGTGCACGAGTGCACAAGTGCCTACGTGTGGGCAAGTGCCTACGTGTGGGCAGAAGTCTAAGTTTTCCAATCCGAAAACTGCACCTTTTATCCCATAGCTTTACAAGTATACCGTTAGACTAGCCCCCACGATGCTGCAGCAGAAGTTGTCGCTATTCCTCTTAGGTTCTGCCTCTCACGAATGCGCGCCCTCATGCACATCTGCCAGCTCTGATATAGCCACATAGGGCAGGCTGAGGTGGGGTGTGCGCAAACCGACAGTCCCGCGACCGAGAGAGATGAGACCATCGAGCACCTTTTTGTTCCCCAACGGGGTGTAGAGCAGCGTGGAGCCTTCTAATCCCTGGGAATGATAGCAGAGACTCCTGTCCTCATGTGGTGGGGTGGACCACATGCAGAGAGAGAGGCGCAGCTCCTGCTTGTGGAGTTTGGCGAGGAGCTGTTTGTCCTCGACAGATTATTAGGAAACATAAATCCGTTGACACAATCTCCGACTTGCGAGAGAAATTTCTCGGAACGTTTCTGTCATGATTACCACATGCAGCACATGCATGCTGCTTCACACAGCTGCTGTCGAATTGCGAGGGTGTGTCGATTCCTGTAATACAGCAGTTGTGTACAGTAGTGGTAACAGTTAAATGACAGATACCTTCGGAGTCGGGTCCTGCATATGTAGATAGGCATCCAATTTGCAATTGCTTTTGTCTGTGCTGTGCCGTAGTAGCCGTGAGTTCTGGCGGCCGATTCCTCTCCAGCGCCCTCTCCCCGTTCCGCATTCCGAGCACGCGGCGCAGCCGCGTGCCGCCCAGTTCGCGGCCGCTAGGCCGTGCTTTGGCCGTGGGTGAGGGTTAGGGTAGATGTGGGGTGAGCAACCTAGCCTTGCTCGCGTGAAGAACCTAGCCTTGCTACGTTCAACATCGGTTAGTCCTAAAGAGTTACTATCAATGTGGTTGGTTAGGGGTTGGGGTTGGGCTCGTAGCCGTTGGCAACATTCGTCAGGAAGTGAGACAGACGAAGGAATCCCGGTGACCCTGTATCTTGAGCGTTGGCTGCGGATCCGAGGCGAGGATCTCCTGTGTGGTCTACATATCCACTATCCACCACCTGATCTCGACATCTCGACGTTCATCGGTGGAACGAGACGGAAAGCGGGACTCTCAACCTTCATTTCTTACGGGCGATACCTCAGCATCGGGACTCATTTCCCAAATGAAGGACATGAAGCGTTCGGGAACCCTTCTGCGGAAAGAAATACTCTTGCATGTACTGCTGTATGCTCATGTACGGTAGTTCGCATGCAGTACATCCATTTCCCGGGTTTCCATCCCAAACAGCAAAGAAAATGTGCAAGAGGGGCCCATTGACTTCCGGCTTTCCATCCCAAATTTCACAGCAAATATGGATGTATGCATAGGCCCACTGACATTTTTCCCGGTCCGAAAGAGCGAGAAGATCAAGTCCAACGTATCTTGGCCTCCGACGACCGCACCCAAACCTTGCAGAATAGATTCCATCCCCTACATTGATTTCTAATCAACGTGTTGGGTTTTTTTCCATCGCCCCCCCCCATTAAGGCTCGTGCCTTCCTTGTAGTCTATGAACTATTTCTTGTTTCTTGGACGAAGAACTGAGAAGTTGCTGCTGTGTTTCTAGAGCAGCTTGTGCCACCCTCCGTCACCTGGGATTTACGACGGAACCATCGTCCGTTCCCTTGTCTCCCTGACGCGGATGGATGCACGGCCCCGCGCGCTTGCCTCACCGTGCACAACACGACAGCAGCTTCTTCCATTCCCCATTGTCTCCGAGAATAGGGAGGAACTTAACGTTCCGCTACAAAACCTCAATCTTTCGATCACCCCTGCCACCTCTCTCTCTCTCGCCCTTTTACACCAACAAAATTCCAGCACCGATTTTCCTTTCCCACCTCTCCTCCTCCTCCTCACATCACCCTTCCTTCCAAGACTGCAATGCCTAGGCTAAAAAAACACTTGTCCAACGGCAGTGTTTTCTTAGTGCCTCCTCTTACGCTCTCTACTGTTACCTCTGCCGTGTAGGCTCCGAACGTAGCCGAAACACTCACGCACAGCACAGCACAGCAGAGAAGCAAATACACACGCGCACGAAACACCCACCCGCAAAAGCTTTACTACACGTGCGCTAATTTCACCATAATCTAGACCAAAAATCGGTTGCGCCCCATGACAGGGCGCCGCGGCTAGCTCGCGCATGCACGGGCGTCGACAAAGGGGGAAAGGAGCTTCTAGCGTTTCGAGTAGCAACCACTCACAGTCTCTCCCCACAACAAACACTGCCGCTTGTCAAAGCCGGCGGCACCTTCGTGGGGAATGTAGATACCTCCCCCCGCATTCTCCGCCTACCCGAGTAAACTAATACTCCTAATATGTCGTTGTGTCTTGTCTCAACGCACTTTGCGTTTCTTGGCCGGCCGTCCTCGTCTTCCGCTGCCGCTGCCGCTGCCGCCGCCCCCGTCCCCGCCCCCTACACTGGAGGCTGATGATCTAGAAGGGGACGGAGGACCGCTGTGTTGAGAAGCGTCGTCGTCATCGGCAGCGAAGGGGTCGTCTCCCGCCGGCCCCGGGGATGCACGCCTCCCTGATGACGATGAACTCCCTCCTCCTCCACCGCCGCCTTTCAAGTCCCCCACCTGGATGTATCACGGGTCGGACGGGTCGTTTTTTTGTGCCAAAGGGGTGTGGGTTGTGAGGGGGCGGCCGTCACATGACGTGCTGGGAAGCAAACCCAAAGTAGTAGGTAGGTGCACGAAGAAAGCGTTGTGTCAAAACGATGCAGGACGTACTAAATAGAGGGGGGGAGCAAACCCAACGTAGCAGGTAGGTGCAGGCAGAAAGACGTTTTTATCAAAACGATGCAGGACTTACTGCAGGGGGAAGCAAACCAAAAGTGGTGCATGAACAAGATGTTTTATCAAAACGATGCAGGACGTACTACAGGGGGGGAGCAAAACAAAAGTGGTGGGTAGGTGCAGGGAGAAAGACGCTTTATCCAAACGATGCAGAAAGCGAAGCGCTGCTGTCCGTACCTTTGTCAATCGGCGGCCTCTTTTTCCGGATGGAGGAGTCGTCGCCGACGCCGAGGCACTGTTGCTCGCACCGCCACCGCGGCTCCCGGAAGCGGACGAAGGGGGAACCGCGGATTGTGACCCCCCCACCCCCCCCGTCTCTTCGTCGACAACAGATGTCTGGCGACGTTCGAAAGGGAAGACAGCAGCAGCAGCAGCAGCAGCAGCAGCAGTTATTCTTCAGGTCGTCTCGTGAGAGCAGCGGTCTAATGCGGCTTGCAGTACTAGTTTTCCTATCTATGCACATAGGTAACACTTGAACACATTACCGTTCGGGGCACAAGAGGAACGTTCCGCAAATGCCCGAGAGAGAGGACTCACGCTAGCCTTCCGTCAGGCGTTCTCCGGTTCTTGTTTCCTGTTCTTCCTGTTCTTTTTTGTCTTTGTCGGCAAATCTCTGTCTACGCGGCACCGTCAAGTGTTGTGGAGCAAGCAACTTTTCTACGCAGCATGTTGCCCCCGCGTCCGTCGCACGGTGCGATTGCACATAAATATTTTCCGCCTGCAACATCGATCTGTACAACTTGCATTCCTCCATGTGTTCATTATTCGGCATGCTAGTGGTATCCACCGCTTCTTCTCTGCAGTAGTTCGGGCACCTTCTTGCGCCGTCCAGGGGGCTGATGCGGCAGCATGTTCGACGCGATCTCCGACATGCCCGCATCGTCCACGTTAGCGTTGGACTGCAAGCATTGCCGTACCAAGACACGTGCAAGGTTTGCCGGACACAAGAAAATACATCATCCGTAAGAGGGCAGGCATCATTGTGTGAGAGGGCAACAACGAGACAAGGTTCGGACCAAAAAACACCGGCGTCATCGTGAACGGGCGTCAAACAAACAGAGAGACAGAGGGGACAGACTAAAAAGGTAGGGGCGAAAACAACGGTGCCGGCTGGCTGCAACCCTGTGGCAGCACAGTAATGCTGGGCCACCAATGCCGTCAAGCGTGCCGAGACTTAGGTTCCGCCGCATGAACGGAAGGAAGGTGGGTTGGGTCAACGAAGCTAGACGAAAGCACCTTTCGGGTGAAGCTATTGTAAAAAAGATCAAGCACGAAAAACGTTGATTGGGGTTTGTCCGCATACTGTATCCAACAATGATGATGACCACCATAAAACTATTTTGCGGTGCGTATATAAAAAGTAGATTCCATTTTCGGCCCATCCATACAACAGCCTGTCGGAGTGCATGCTAATGGTTAGGGTTGTAAATAACCCAAACATAATACCTCATCTCCGTTTCTACCGTCCGACCGCACACGCTTCACCAATAGAGCACGCCTCTTCTCGCTCGAACAACGGCGTGGTGCGTGCCTCACGCGCCGGGGCGGCACAGCCTTTCGTACCGCTAAAACTCCAAGAGCACAAACGAAAAAACACGCTTGGTTCCTCCACAGGAGGTGAACGAGGCGCTCTACCAAACGACCAACCAAACCTGTCAAGCGGTTTCAAAAACAGCGGTCTACACACACAATCGGTCGAGTTTTTCGTCAGATTGACGAGATCGTCTCACTTGATTTCCCAGGTTAAATCCGTCCTGGCGTGTATCGCAGTCCCCTTCCCACTAGAGGCATCAAACCGTCTAGCTTGGACTCTCACCAATAGAATCCAATGTGCACACTATCCTTATCCTCCACAATCGACGTTATCTCTAGCGCGTTTTTGTCGGACAAGAACGGTACAACTAGTTTTTCAGGTGTCATCACCACCAAAATGATGCCGCTTTCTTTTTCTTGTGTGCCTGTATTCTGTATGCAAGTGCATTTTATATTGTGTTCGTGCGTACTGGAGACAAGTGGTGGCACGTTTGTATGCAACTACTGTAGTTTTTCATGTGTCATCACCACCAAAATGATGCCGCTTTTTTTTTTCTCATGTGCCTGTAGCTGTATGCAACTTTAGTTTACTGGAGATAAAGTGGTGGCACCTTTGGACGTCTTTCACGCGTCATGACCACCAAAATGATACCACCGCCTGATTTTTCTCGTGTGCCTGTAACGAACAAATTTGTTGTTGACGGGGTTGTGTTTGTGCGTACATACCCTTCCGTACTGAAGACAGTGGTCCATCACCCAGGCCCTCAGGCACACCGAAGCGTACGTCGCGGTCTGCAGTGCCAGCGAGTAGCAAGGAAGCACGCTGAACAGCCTGCGAGCGAGGGGGGAACAAGCGCGTGTGTTGTACAGAAATACCACACGGCAGTGACAAAAAAAGGAAGGAACATAGCAGATCGAGAGAGGAGAGTGCCGAAAAACAGACGGTTAGACAGGAGAGCAGACCGGGGGGGAGGGGGGGAGGCTACCAAATGCAGAGAAGAGCAGAAACAGCAAGTGGATAAGGGAGGATTGAAAGCCACACGATGAGATGAGCAGAGATTGGTGGGCAATGCCAGCAACATCGACAATATCGCATGTCAGCAATATATAGCAAACAACAACAGCGCGTTTTTAAGCAGTTCGTGCCTACAGGAACAGGAGCGATAGGGAGGCAGGCAGAAACACGCACAAATGGCTCACCCAACCTCCACGTCCCGATGGATACACCAGTGCTCCATGGGGGCGAATGTCGACTACTCTCCACCTCGAGACTGAACAAAAAAAAACACAGGCATCCGGCAAAGGCACGAGAAACCGGTTCCCACCCGAAAAAAAATTGGAAACCAACACACGTCCATGCTGCCTTACTTCCTCATTGCAATACCTCTTCCAGGAAGACTCCAGCCACCTTCGTCAAAACCTTGAGACACCGGTTCTCACCCTTAAAAAGTGGAGTCAAACACCAAACACACATCCATCCATGCTGCCTTCCCTACTGTACCTCTTCACATTCTTGAGACACCGATCCCCACCCAAAAAAAATTAACCCTCGGAAACAAACAACGGATTCATTCACGCCTTCCATTACTACCTCTTCGAGGAAGACTCCAGCCACCTCGGGTTGATGGACGACTCCAGCAGCAGCCACGCCTCCATGAGCTCAAGCGCCGTCGTGGCCTCCTGCACGTACGTGATCCACGGCTGGAGGAGACCCCCGTCGAACCGACCCCTTGCTCGGAGACGCGCACCGCTTGGCAAGGCCGCCTGGATCTGGATATATATATTTTATTTTTTTGGTGCGCATTGCGGGGGGAAATTTCCCCAAAAAATCCAGCCAAGCCATAAACAAATGTGAGCCTCAGGGATGAGACGGGCGGATGAAGAAAGTCTCAGCTGAGGCGGCGCGGAAATTTTCCCGAAAAATCGAAAAATCCGTGAGACCCGGGGGATAAAACGGGTGCGAAATTTCCCCGAAAAATCCAGCCAAGCCATAAAAAATATGAGACTCGGGGATGAGACGAGTGAACAAAGTCTCAGCTGCGACGAACTTGGGGGATAGTTTACAACAGCAGCAAACGAGTGCGCCCAGCGGTCGGGATGCCGAGAAAGGGACGGGGTTTGCTACCTCCTAGCCTGCTGTACCTCTGTGTCCATTGCTACGATGGACGTGGAAGGCCAGGCCGCAATCACCACAAGGAAATACGCAACACACCCACACACACACAGACGGACCGTACCGTACCGTGAGGATCATGGCCTTGGCCCTGGTCTGTGCGCTGCTCTCCGTCTCCGCGGTCGTGAAGGACGGGACGCTGCACCGCAGGCCCCTCGCTCGGCCGGGTTTGTCCATTTGGTAGCTCGCCTCGAGGCCCTGCAGCACCTTCGGCTGATTCATGTATCAAGACAAAGAAGGTGAAAAACAAACCATTATCACACCGAACCAACACAAACATTTTATTGTCAAAAAAAAATTTCATGGATCTACATGTCTACAAGAGGGTGGTGGAACGACGAGGTTGAGGTTATCGTCCCGCTGGGTGCTACGCTACCGGCCCAGAGGTGTGTTGTGTTTTCATAACTAGCATCGACCGGCTGAACCAATGAAAAGGCACCAGTCTTCGAGCGGGATAAAAAACACACGAACACTTTCCAAAAGGGTAAGTGTTTGTGAGCGTGTGGCGTGGAGACCACGGCAGGCTCAGGTTGGGGGAGGTAGGATGGCGTACTCGATGCTTTTTCATGCCTTAAATAGCGGTTGGACCATTGACTAGAGGGGGGACACGACACGTGAGCGAGAGAGCAGGGGTGGCGAGTGCAGGGCCGGCTCTACTTCTTTTGTGTTTATTGGTTTTGTCACCTGTAGGTATTCGTCGTCTTGAGGCGGGAGCCCTGGCCCCGTGCCCCTTCCTGCACCACCAGAGGAAGGCGACATTCTTTCTTCGTCCTCCTCCTCCTCCTCTTCTGGCTCTTCAACGTCGGTGGCGTCACCCTTGCCGCCGCCGGCCAAGGGCGAGAGGGCGGAGGCTCGCTCCCACCTGTTCGTTCGTTCATTTGTTCGTTCGTGTGTCGCCCGGGTGATGAGTCGGAAGCATTCGTAAGCCAGCCCGTGCACCGTTCCAAGTAGTACGAGGTATAGCAATGTTCCACGGATGGTGCTGGAAGGGAGTCTAAAAAAGACCGGTATCCCGTGTTTGGAGCTGGAATGGAGACAAACAAAGCCCCACCGGACGAGCACAAGCACAATTGCGGCCAGAGACACGTGCCAAAACCGTGCAGACCTTTTTGTTATCTGCTGCCGTTCCTTCTGTCACCATGTGTTCCACACGACAACAGTAGTGGTATACCAACAACCAACTTTCCCTCAAGTGCGTACCTGTCGAACCTCCGACTCCAGCCCCGGAAGGACACCAGGTACCACGCCTCCCCCCCCCCACTGCTCGAGGCGCTCGCGGAGCCCCCCGACTAAAAAGAAAGAAACCGCATCCACATCAGCAAGATATTCGAGGGGGGGCGGGGTACAGCATTGCCATCAGTGCCATCATAAGGGTTAGGGAGCTTGGGGGGGGGGGGGGGGGGGGGGGGGGGGGCCCCCCCGGGGTAAAAAAAAAAAAAAAATTTTTTTCCCCCCCCCCCCCAAAAAAACCCCGGTTTTTTTTTTTAAAAAAAAAAAAAAAAAAAAATTTGGGGGGGGGGGAAAAAAAAAAAATTTTCCCCAACCCCTTTCAAAAAAAAAAAAAAAAAATTTTTTCCCCCGGGGAAAATTTTTTTAAAGGGCCCCCTTTTTTCCCCCGGGGGGTTTTTTTTT